CAGAAGACTCTAGGAACATGCGAGAGGTCCTCATACAGCGATGGACTGATATTGCTACTGTCGGATTTGTTTGTCAGCTTTATCACACGCGCCTAAAATTAACTTGTATTTTATTGAGTAAAATTTTCATTTGGTACCGTTAACACGGAGTAGTCTAATATGAGACGCCTGAAAGTCAGGCTCAGCATAGATATTGCAGTTAGCTTATTTGTTTCAGAAACGACTCGACCGGTGCCTATGTTCGATGGTAGTTATAGTAACGTTGTACGTTCTGGTTAGCAGGCGCTGGCCGTCAACAATTTGGGGTAAAATAAGAGGTAGTGGTAGTTTACGTGTGTACGTACATGGCTACAAGAGATGGACTGGGTGTTCGTGAGCGCGTGTGTGTCGGCAATGGCGGCTGTGCATGGCAGTGGTAGTAAGGCTGATGAAGGCTGCACAGAGCGGAGAGCGAGGCGGCTGAGGTTGTAGGTTATGTTGCTCGTATCCTCACACTTGCTACCACCGCAGCCACCACAATCATCACCACCGTTCCATGGCCGCCTCAGCCGTGTTCTATTGGGTGAGTAATGCCGTGATCTGGTGTTGTCACTCATCCATTCTCCACTATAATTTGTCTTGATGTTTCATTGGGTGAGTATGAACGTGAACTGGAGTTGTCACTCTCCCTCTCACCCCTAACTTGTGTCTTGGTGATGGTTACTTTGTTGTGCTAATGAGGACGTGATCTGGTGGTGTCACTCATCTCATCACAGTAAATCTTGGGGCCTGGCGACTAACAGCCTCGTATGATCACCAATTGCCAGCATTAGTGTTATCAGTCGCTCTAACAACATCGTAAAGGTATTATCTTTTTGTGTTCTGTCGGATGAAAGACGATGAACTCTTAATGTTTAAGGCACTCTTATACCATAGTGTTTCAACGTGATTATAGGATTTACAAGGTATACTTATGTAGTTTCCTATACACATGTGTTGTGCCTTTTTTATTTGACATTTCCCCGTTATTTTAGTCGTGAAGAATTTGCCTCTAACGTAACCATTGATTAGGAAAATCTCTCATTTGTTACTGTTAATGTGTATTATATTTTCAAAGTTGGTACATAGGTAAACCCCATCCTATAGAACAGTCTTACCAAAACCAAACAAGCGGCAACACCCACGATGACAGACTTTAGTCATTAATATAGCTCAACTTACAAGTTTATACAAAAATATCTGGGATGGTTAAACTCCAGCAGACGGAAGTGTCAGAGACAATTTCTCGGAATATACTGTATAGCCTAGCCATAAGGCAATGGCAGAACTTCCTTGAAATAGCCTTGCCCCTCTAAAGGTGTTCTGATGTCTCAAGTTGCTAGTGGAAGGTAGTGTTATGTAGACAATACCGTTTATGGGTCCAAAGATCACGTCGAGATGAACATTGGGAGTAGGTACTGTATACCGGTACATGGTGTGTAAGGCTATTGGATGACTTAAGATGTGCACATTACGTGGGGTTATTGATACGAATGGTGGAAATAGTCACAAAGCTAAGTTTACGTAATTTAGTCGATTTAAAAAATGTGTATTTTTAATTTCGTTTTACTCTTATTTTTTCTCCCCCTAGGCCCCGTTGTGGGTCGATGACCTGTGTCCGGGTGGGCTGTTCCCCGTAAAAAAATGAAATAAAATGAAATAAAATAAATCAGACTTTTTCTAGCTAAACTTGTGATTGTCTAATTTTTTCCCTATGGCTTTTTTTTCCGGATACCCTGCACTGGGCGGTTAGTGGGCAGCCATGTGGAACTCGTATAGTAGTCTAGTAAGAGTGGGTATGTAGATGTGGTGGCAGGTCTGGGTGATGATATATAATGAAGGTAATGCATCATGCTGATCACATCACTACTTAACACCTTCGTCACGTGTATCAGAAAGGTGCATTGTTCACAGATGGTGCACCGGACTCCACACTCATGGCGAGATGCTCCAAATAGTAGTTATATCTCAACCAACACATATGATTATACTCGTATGTTAACAATGTTGTTCGCTTAAGATTTCAGTTTTTGACACGTTCCATCGTTAAGCATAAAATACTGTACACTCGAGTGCGTTCATTTCCTCTTTTTATATTAACTTTAATTATTTAATTTTGAAGTTATTACACCATTGAACAAATTTCTAGTACAGTATTGCTATTTTGTTCCAAACCAGTGAAATGGAGATGAATAACAATAATTATATATCAATCATCTGTGTATTTACAAACAGGTACCGCGCGTTAATTACTGCAAATATTTCTTGTATTGCTGTGCAGTATTATACATGTTTAAACGACTTATTTTGCTTTTATTTTGTCTGTAAGAAATCAACGATAAAGATTTAGGCTTTAAAATTTTAAACCTCCCATTGTTTGGAGTTACTGTATACAGTTTACAGTGGTTTTTATTTAGACGCCCTATTCAGACTTCAATATTACTTGTCGCATACAAGTAAAGATATTGTAGGATTCAAATACGTATGTGCAAGAAGTTTGACTGCGGTCAAGTGGCTCTTATTGAAATATGAATTGTGACGAAATGCTCCGTTACAGTGTGAATGACAAGATGAAGTAACAATGGATCATCTCTCCTGGGACAAGGCACTACATGAACCTTCAACCTCTAGGTATACATTATGCCCAATGAAATGACGTACCGTCAGTGTACACAAACTTCTTCGTTTCTGCGCCTTATCTTCAGTACCGCAATATCTCTGAAGTATCACCAAGGTCAGTTTTGGCAAGTATTCTGCATCTATGGATACAGTACTCATCGGTTATCCTAAGGGTTGCTGGTTCGCGCCAAAGAGTTCACCCGACTTTGAATTGGCACCTGAAGTGCCGACCATACAGCCGCTTAAAGAAAAAAAGCTTTATAAACCACAACAATTAAAAATTTCCATAACTTTGTTGCTAAGGGGCATACGAAATATACACCTGCTTTCAATAATCAACGGAAACCTGTGAGAACAAGATTCCACGAAGTAAATAGAATAATTTTGAATCAGGACTTCTCGGGAAAATTAAAATTTTTCATTGACGAAATTATATACACCTCGAATCCTCGATGTGGTGACTACATAACCAACAAACAAGAAATGACTGACCATCATCATTCCCGATTACGTATCATAATTGTAAGAAGAACTACAGACAAGTTGTATTTGTTTAGTCAACCTGTCTCTCGACAAAAAAAAAAATATATATATATATATACAGGTATATACTGTATATATATATATATATATATATATATATATATATATATATATATATATATATATATATATATATATATATATATATATATATATGCTGATAATACAAGGTTATGCATATATATGTGTGTATTTGCATATATATGTGTGTGTGTGTGTGTGTGTGTATGTGTGTGTGTGTGTGTGTGTGTGTGTGTGTGTGTGTGTGTGTGTGTGTGTGTGTGTGATATTATATATATATATATATATATATATATATATATATATATATATATATATATATATGTATATATATATAATGTATATATATATATGTATATATATATATATATATATATATATATATATATATATATATATATATATATATATATATATATATATATATATATATATATATATATATATATATATATATATATATATATATATATATATATATATGTTAGTCAAAACTTATATAATTTTGAGGAGTATACCTTCATTTGACCGTTTTTATTCTATTAAATTTTTTTTTCCAAAGTATTGGTATCTTAAGGATGGAGAGAACTGGTATTTATTCCACCCCGCCAGCCCACGAGTTGCTGGCAACACATTACTGACACAATGTTGATTGTTGTAAGATTTTCCTCATGTCTTTGTTTTATCTAAAATGTTGATAATAGCTAGCTATTAATTAAACCAAGGAATAGAGCAACAAACACCCAGCAGTTGCAAGCTTTATTATGATTCTGCTCGTTTCTAACTTTCTTCCTCGTACTCTATTAAATACATATTTGACAACTGCTGAAAGTTGCCACGTTTCATTTTTTATGAGTAATTTTACCTTATATCAGTCTGTAGTTTCCATACTAATTAAATTAAAACGTGTTAGTAGCAGTTGATTTGCAGTGATATTGGTAAACGGTGAATCAAACCACAACTAGGGGCATTATTGTTAATATATGCAGGACGTGACCGTGCAGCTGGATAACACAGGTAGTGGGGCAACAGCTGAGCGAGACACTTGGGAGAGGTGAGGGAGTCACACGATGCCACTGTTTCTACAGATCCCGACGCGTGAGGATATCCCTGTGCTAATTATTGTAGGAACACTTAGTGTAAGTTTGGAATAAAAGCTGTAACGTGCCGTGAGAAGTGCAGAAAGTGATTGCCACTAACCTTGGTCGAGGATAAGATACAGTATACTGAATGGCAGGTGATGAACAAGCCTCAGGACTGGAAGCTCAGAGCTGGCATGTTGGACCCCAACACTACACAATAACGAGCCCAGACAGTGGTTCTTGGAGAAGAGCGATGATGTATTGACCATATTATGACAATAATCGAACTGTATTTGTGAAAGTGACTGACGCATTTCAAGTGTAATGAGCACTGTGTTAGGAGAATACTTCGGATTTTCGGGTAGTGGGGCCAGACCTCTCGGTAGTTGTGTTGGGAGAATGAGCCATGGGGTGAACTTTAGAGTGTGTGGGCTGTGTAACTGCCAGGGTGACCAATTGAAGGTGTGTAGCAGGTGTAAGACTGCATGGTACTGTGGCCCCGACCACCAGAGGCAACACTGGAAACAACACAAGCCTTTCTGTAAGCCCAAAAATGGTGTGATGCATGGAGAAGCATTTGGTGGTAGTGGAAATGCAAACAAAAAAATACCAAGGAGGTCAGCCCAACAGACAGACTTTTCCTTTGACAGATCAGCACTTGATGCTGTGATGGGCAGTCATGGTGGTGTTATGAGTGACTATGAACTGCATTTTCAGGGTAGCGTTGCTGAAGTTCCAGGTGGTAGGCGAAGATCGCTTGCTGAACCTGACTTGAGCACTCCTATTGATTCAAACACATTGGAAGCCACATCGCAACAGTACCGCCCAAAGACGCCTTCGCTGTACCATGTGGAAGTGTGTCCTGATTCCCAGTCGCTTGAAGAGGGCGGTTTTAGTCAAGACTGGTTTTCCGACGTAATGCAGCTAGTGATGAAGGACCTCAATAAATATGGTGTCTGTGTTGTCGACGACTTCCTCGGTGAGTAATTTTTTTGTCTGTTTATGATTAAGGACACTTGTACAGTTAAACTATTCATCTTACTACTTTTTGTGGTAGCTAAATGTTAAGGACAGCATTACTAAACTAAAATGTTTTTTCTATAGGAATCATGTTATGGGTACTTGTATGTGCTGGTAGTTTACTGGTCTGGATATGGAAATGTAAAATAACTGCTCTATTTATTTATTTTTACTTTTTATACACCACTAGTACAGTGTGTCACAAAGGCCTTGATGTCATGAATTTCTTTTGGAATTGGCAAAATGAACTAGCTAAACCACCCATCATAACCTATACTGTACTTCTCTGTATTACAAGTTCTTTAGGTTAGGGCTCACTGGCTTGATTTGGCTGTTGCAAGAGAACTAGAGGGTTGAAAATTTAAAATCTTAATTGCGTGATTCAAACTCCAGATCCATAAACTGCAAGTACAGTACAGTATACTAGAAGTTCCCGACTTGCAAACGCCCGCCAATACGAATGGGGTTAAATTTGAAATTTACAGTATTTTATTTACCTGAAAACTTATTTTTTACTTTCATTTACTGTATTTTGTCATTCTGTTTTTTCTTTTGTCTTAAATTAAGTGATTTTAGATGTATATTAGGACTTAGGCTATGATATAGTGGGATTTTAAACATTGTTTTGTAAGTACGGTATGCATATAGCATGTGTTCCGACTTACATACAAAACTGATTTACGAACATCCTCAGGAACGGAACCCGTTCATAACCCGGGGACCCCCTGTAATCGAGTACTGTACTGGAACAACGTGTTTTGTGAAAGTCCGTAAAACGGACAGAGGGAATATTAAGTGTTTCATGGTTGTCATGCTGTAGTTTTCTATCCAATCAAATAGAAGAAAATTAATAGCTATCAAAATTCATTGAAATCCATATCTAGAACTCTACTAACTGAAATACCACTGTGGAAGGTAAAACAGAAAAAAGAAAGCATGTGTATTTCAAAGGTAACACTTGAAGAGGGCGTATGTTATGGTCAAAAGACTCGTACACTGTACAGTGCTCTCATTTTTCTGTGTTTTATCTCTTTTAGTGGATTTCAGTGTTTAGAAATGTGTGGTATTACATAATTTCTTTAGAAATATATGTACTGTACAATCAAAGACAAAAGTCGTGTCGCGGTTTTGTCCGAAGATTATGTAATGAGGGGGATATAAGTAGAAAGTAGAGATAGAATATTTAGTCGTAGGATTGTAAAGCGAGGAAGTTTGGTAGCGTGGCCGGTTAGTTACTTAACTGTAAATACGTTCTTGGGGGAAATCTTTCTAAACACCGCTTTCAATACAACTATTTATTATTCAATTGAATGGCATGGACTCATTAATAGAACATTATATTTACGTTACTAGACACTGACTCGGACACAAACGTGAAATGGATACACTTCCCTCCATAAGTAACTCGCCCTTGGATCGCTCTGACAAAGACGCGCGTGTGACCTGAGGGAGGCCTAGCAGGTGCTGTTGAAGGGAGAGCTGGACTATGTCTCCTGTGGGAGACTGCTAGCTGGAGACACAGTGCTGGGGAGGGAAGTCTCCCTCTGGGGTGGAGCTGTCGGCTCCCTCCCATATTACAATGATGCTCCGAATGCTAACTGACCCTGAATATGAATGCTCTCGAGGAGGGAGCTGCAGGGCCTATATATTGGCGGTCACCAGCCAGCAGATGACCTCTCCCAAATAACACTAGACTGGGTGTGTCTAGACAGGTGTACTGGCTGGAGGGATTGTTTCTTGAGTCACACGGTCATGTCGCCGGGTTAAGCTAATCGCGTAGCAGTGAGAACTCTGGGTCAATGTGACTGACCTCTCTTGGGTCAGGTCTGGACAGCTGTGGTTATAACACAGTCATATCGCAGGGTTAACTCAAGTACTTTGTGGCCGTCAGCTCTCCTGGGTCAGGTCTTACTGTCACTGGAGGGTGTGTCAACCTATGTGGGTTACCACATGGGCATCTACTTACTGTTATATATGTTGTATTTCTCTGGGCTGTAAGCTGTGGTCTGATAAACAATCATTACACTTTAATATAACTCTTGAAACATTATGAGAGCCCTACCACAAGGCAGAGCGCACCAAAAGTTTTAGCCCTTCGGTATATGTTTTCGCCAAATTTTACGACATGACTTTTGTCTTTCATTGTACATAGACCCTCCTCAACTCAAGTGAGATTTACAATCCTGGAACCATTGCATAACTTGAATTTTATGTTAAGTCAGATTTTATTCAGTAGCTAAGCTTAAGTGTTAGCCTATCTACAGAATGTAATATGATATATTCAATACCTGACACGAGGTAATACAGTACTGTACATATACAACCTTTAAGATGTAAGCAACTACAGATCACTATCAAGAGATGAAAGATGATTAATTGAGCATTTGCAGTACTAAAACATTACCTTAATTTCTATTGATGATTTGCTAATTTGTAAGGATGGCAGTTGTGGTATATCACACTGCTATGCGGCCACAAGTACTGAGGTACCCGAATTTACCTGTACGTAGCGCTACTTAAAAAATTACGCATCTCAGATATTTTTCTTATTTTCATTGGGATTTATACGTAAAGGCAAATTTGTGTGTGTTGATTGTTGTGGGCGTACATTATTGTACCGGGCTATGTAGAATGTATTATACAAAATAGGGCGAATACATTATCTGATGAGTGATAACTATTATGAATGTATTCTTTTTTCCTTTTAACTTCTGATTAACCATTGATGATCTTGTAGATAATCATAATAATGTACAAATAAATGAAGAGATTCTTAAATAAAACGACTCTACCTAACCTATGTCAAGTACCATATATTATGATAGTAAAATATGGCTAAAATGAAGCATGTCAAGTTTTCCTATACTGTACTGTATTCACGTTTACTTCCATTAAATTGTAGCCATAAAAAAAAAGTTACCTCTACAGTATATGGCAAAAATTTTAGTTGCGTTTTAAACCCCTAGGGTAGTGGTTCTTAACCTTATTAGGGTCGCACCCCCTATAGCAGTTAGTCCTCATCTTCACGCCCCCCCTTCTTCCTTCATATAAAATTCCAAGTCTAAAAATTATCATTTTTTCATCAAATTATCGTACACTTCCCGACATTATTACTACCTTAATTCAGTCACTTTTAGTTTGAATTTTACATTTTGAAGTATCTGTGGAGAGTGAGATCCCCCCCCCCCATCCTCCAAGAAAATCCAAAGGACATACGCACACCTGTTAAGGCCATTCCTTATTTTTTGCTCTGGGTTCGCGGCCACCCTGGAAATTAACCCTCCCTCGGTTAAGAACCGCTGCCCTAGGGCCATCTCTGTGAATTTGTTTTAAAGTGTAGAAGGTGTCACTAACGCCAACCACACTGTAAGTTAATGAGCTGGATGAATCGGTGTCGAGGAATAATCTGAGAACAGACCACCTGCCAACTGCGATGGAAGACCATTATACTGGAACAAGATTCGCAAATCATCTGGCATTAGCCAGAGAAAATTTTAAAAGTGGTTTCCCTTTAGTGAAGAGCTTAGCATCCAAGTTCCCAATTACTGTTAGGTAGACGAGGCAAATGGCCTTAAGAAACGTGCCCATAGTTTCACCCTGTCTGTCGATCAAATGTGGATCCACTCACTTTCGAGGCAATGCTGATCATTACACACACACACACATGTTGTAGTATAGTATATGTAAAACCTACTTTAATGCAAAATTGACATTGCTAACTATGATAGAATTTTAAACGTTTAGAAATGGGTTTCAACAGCATGCTTGCCTTGCAAGTGAGTGGACCCGGGGTCGATCCCCGGCCAGGGTAAAACTACTACAGTACCGCATGGGCAAGTTTCTTACTGCCCAAGCTGCTAACAAACTGATTAGTGGTGAAGAGAATAAGAGTAATGCTGTATTACAACAAATGTTCTTCTTTAAGGTTTGATGAAAAAAAAGGAAGCTTAATATATCTGTATTATCAGATAAAAGTTGTTTATTACTTGAAGATTGCATCATATCACTTGGTAGAGCATCACAAGACTTAACAGTTTGTTGATATGAACTACAAGTATATCTAATTTTATAGCTCCACCTTCAGATGTGTAACAATCAAGTGGTATTAAACAACTTAATGTAATTCTCTAACAAAAGTAGCTTAGCTATTTAAGTGTTTTTAACTGTTTACATATTTTCATTGTTTTTGTTTATTGTTGGTTAAAGAGAAGATTATGATTTTAGAATCGACTGAAAATCCACCTATCCAGCTTATTACTCCTTAAGATTAACCACTCTAATGTTAAATCTAACCTAAGCAGGGGTGGCGAATCTTCAGGTGTTAGGTGATCCTAATTTTATGATAATGTTTGGTGGGATCTTACCTGATGTGTTGGGGCATAGATTTGGGGGCTCATAGTGTACTATATTATAACTACTTTCATTGTCAAGGTGTATTTCTCAAACAAATTGTTCAGAAAAAAACACAAAAAACAAAAACAAAACATAAGTTTAGGTCAAAACCTTGAAAGTTTCTATAAAGAAATGTGTTTATGCATACATTGCTTAAAACAGTGAACTAGAACAATTCATTCAATTACATAAAAGGCAAAATGCCTAAGTTTGGCAGTTCTCGGTAGTGTTATTCTGTGGGATCAACTATAATTCAGTGATTTCTTTTGTGTCAAAACAAAATGAGCAAGCAGAGGCATAATATTTTTGAATATATATATATATATATATATATATATATATATATATATATATATATATATATTATATATATATATATATATATATATATATATATATATATATATATATATATATATATATATATATATATATATATATATATATATATATATATATATATATATATATATATATATATATATATATATATATATATTTAAATTTTTTGGGGGGGTGGGGGGGCAAACCTGCATGTAAGATTCTTTTCCCCAATACGGTACTGTACTATACTGTACATGCATTGTTTTGGAGAAAATTTTATTTTTTGCTTCAAAAGATGAACTGTACCCTATCATACTGTAGAGCACCACACCTTAATCTTAAGTTAGGTTTGGTTAGCTAGTCTATCATCATTAATGGGTTTAAGCACTCCCTAGGGGTTCAATGTTGCTAATTTGCTTAGGTTTTGTTGTTTCATTTCTTCTGCTTTCCAAAATGGTTTATAGGATAATATAACCCCATAGCCTTGGATAATCATAAACAGATGAGACAACATGTTTCAAATTGATATGAAAATCTTTTTGCTCCACATTTATTTTTATGTAGTTTCCTACTGGATTTGAATGCTATACGAAAATTTTAATTTAGGTATATAAACATATAACTTAAGACTGCCAAAGATTTCCTGTGATACATATCCGTTTAACCCATTTTTTTTCTATTTAACTTCCACAACAGTGGGACTTGAATGAAAGCACACAGTTTAAAAGTGTAATGAACACTCTTCCATATGATTTAACAATTGAACAAAAATCTTAAGTAAGAAACTTTGATCAGATCCATACAACTGTACCTTTATAGTGAGCCTGGAGATAATGGAACTGGACTCTACTATTGTCACCATAGGTTGCTTTAGACTTCTCACCGATCAGTTTCTTACAGGAACATTGGTAGACTACCTTTAAGGCCTGAACTGTTTTCAATGTCTTATTACCACCACTGGGCTATATGAAAGAGAGGAGACAACTCCAGTATTTTGCACCTCTTGGTATATCATGCCTTTGGAGAGGGCAGATGAATTGTACAGTACAGTATTCTGAGAGTTGTAGAGATGGGCTGTGTTCCTTAGAAAGGGAAGGAAATCTTCCCTCTCCTCTTGAATGGATTCCAGTTTACTCCATGGAGATAGTCAGTTGAAATTCCAATGTCATTTTATACTGAAATATTATTCCCGTTCACTGGGAGAATATGATTTACTTTGCACAGTTCTTCTCCAACCTTTAGTTTTAGTCATATGACAGTACAAGATCTTATTCTTAGCCTAATGAAAAACAAGTGTAAAATTACATTGCAGTGTTTGCAATTCATTTATCAATGCACAGCCTAATTTGAAATATTCAAAGATGGAATGCAATTATGTCAATTTGCAAACTACCCTGTACAGTATTAAGTACAGTACAGTACTATATAGTACAATCTTATTGTGTTGTAAAATATGTTCCATTCTTTTTATTCAACCTGAACAACCAAAGTTTGGTGGATATTCAGTACAGAGTACAGTACTGTAATTGTATATTAGTGATAATGCACACCCCTAAATAAGTGGTTATTGTTCAATAACTCAATGGATTCAGTGAAAAGATTTTAGTTTTGCTATTCATGTACAGTATTGTATACTGTGACAGGTTCTTTATTACTTGGGCTGTTGGGTATATAGTATTGCTTGTACAGTATCTCAAGTATTAAGTTGATCATTAGTGAGAGGATGTGGCTCTCATTTACAGTTCATCCTTGCAATTATGTTGGAAGAGACATCCAGTACAGTACTATACGAGTACCATTTTGCCCATTTAGTTTTAATTCAATGTTAATATTTGTGCATAAATTACAAGGCATACGTTTTAATTAATTAGGAATTATTTGTGTATAATGTTGAAGCTAGGTGCTGTATTTAGATACTAGCTATTGATTAAGCATGCATAATATTCAAATTTGGGGATTTGGGTAGATATTACGAATTGTGTACTTTCCTAACTTGATTTTCATTTAAATACTGAACACTCATAAAGAATTTTCAAACCTGGTGCTCTGCTGAAATAATAAATAGCTTGGGGGAGTAGAATAAAGCGTCCAGCGTTGGGTGAGAGAACGGAGGTGTACCGTAGTTGTGGGCGTCAAGTGTTGCCATAATAAACAATATGATTGAGTAAGGAGGGTGGGTCAGCCGGGCAGATGGTGGTGTGGTGTAGTGATGTGCCTCACCACATACACGTATCATTTAACACAACACATTCTCCGACACTCACGCATGAGCACATGCAGGTGTTTATACACTCGCCAGTGCACACTTGTTCACCTGTGTGTGTGTGTGTGTACTCAATTATTTCATTACAGTCAAGTCTCGGAGCCGAGTCCTGGACCCCACGATTCATCAACGTAGCATTTTACCTTTTGTACTGTATTCTGAAAGACACTTATTTGGGTACTAAGCATTTAAAGAATCGTAATATTCTTAATTTATCTATGTATATATGCCACCAGTTGAAACTTGTATACCGGTATTTATATATACCTGTACGTGTACAATTATACAAACACGTGATGTCTCATACAGCATTTGCATGCCTGTTCACACGATCCTGTGGACTTAAAATTATGTTTGAACTCGATGTGTAAACACAAGCCATGGTTATACTGTACATATTTAGGGGTGATTAAGGGTAACCATTTAGGGGTGATTAAGGGTAACCATCAATTCAAACCAAGGGTTTGAATTGATTTGGGTAAGTTATCTTAAGGATTAGCTTGGTTGTGGGTTGTAGATATTAGGCTTGGCCAAGTTATGGCGTGGACTACTAGGCAGAAGCAGAATCCTCTTTGTTTCTGAGACGCAAATTTGGCAAGCTGGCTTGTTGCTATTTGAGGCGACCTTCCACTGTTGGACATGTCGTATATTGCGTTGTTGTTGAAAAGCTTGCTCAGCCATATGTGTAGGCAATATGACACTTGAAGAAAAGTATAAATCCCTGTTAGTAGAAACACGTATTGTACCCACTTTATAGTCTTACTGATGGCCTAGGCGAGGTAAACATGTAGTAACGGGAGAAGGAAAGTGACATCGTAATGAATATCGGGAAGTCTCAAGAAGATTTAACCACATTGGTCAGAGCCATGTGCTTACAGAGCTAGGTAAATATTTGACTAGGCCACCGAACATTTGCGATACAAGATCATTTTGTCAAGGACACAAGCAACAACAAAAAAATGAATAGAAAAAATACATAATTTGTAAATTAGTAACAAAATACATAAGTATATATGAGCAGTCTGTAAAATATTACTAGAAATATTTAAAAATGCACTCGTAAGCACTGTCTACTACAGGCTATTTTTTTCGATATTACTCACCCTGTCAATAAGTATTGTGTATTAGGCTTTGTCATGTTCAAGCAATATATTATTGGCGTTTTAAGAGCTATATTTTCAGGGAAAATAACAAACAAAAACATTTATTTAATTTTTTCTGCTCGTTTCCTTTCAGGGGCCGAGCGCGCTGAACACATCTTACAAGAGGTGGGAGCACTACACTCACGGGGAGTGTTCCATGACGGGCAGGTCGTGTCGCGTCATGTGCAGGACCAGGCACGGGGCATGATCCGTGGCGATAAGATCACTTGGGTGACCGGCAGCGAGCCTTACTGTGGCGGAATTGGTCAACTTGTGTCGGTGGTGGACTCGGTTGTGGCTAAAGCCAACAAACACCCAAACGCTGGCAAGCTTGCCGACTACAACATTACCTGGAGGACGCGGGTAAGTGCCTGCCACGTGTTCATATTTTTGTGTTTGCTATTGACTTATTTCTTTAAAAACAAGTGTGCTTTATACACTGGACATTTTCCCACGTACAGAACACACTTGTGGTCCCTTTACTTGTACCCTACTGCTATAATTGTTACCCCGTATTTTTATTCTTTGGTAGACTTGGTTTCATTAAAAGATGCTGTGAACTATTAAATGTACTGACCACCCACTAGCTACTAAATCACGAAATGTACATGCCACAGTTAAGAAAATTTATACAAAAGTACTTGCGCTAAATTTGGGTTGCATAGGTATAACTATGATTTGAGTGTTTGGCTAACATTAGGTTAATATGATCGGCTTGAGGACTGCGAGTAGAGCACTCGACTCCTTGCGGTAGTTTCTGGTTAATAATATTCGTATTAGTTCTGTCGCAATCCTTGTATCGTTGTAAATAGTTATACTCATTCCGACAGTTACTGTTAAAGGAAAAATTCACAAGCAAACATTACGTGCAGAATCAGGTGTTGGAGTTTCATGTCCAAGTATACCAAGTTGCCGCTCGGTGACCACCTTTCGCATGGCCCCATTACTCCTGCCGGTTGCGGGATATTACTAAGTTTATTTTTTTTTTTAGGGGGAGGGGAGTAATGGAGGTCGTTGGCGTCTTATCAGTAGGGTTGCTGGTTTGGTATTAATATTGGAGTGTTTGCTAGTGCAGCAATGCGTCATCGTGACTTATTGCAGGCTTCTGATGTTGCCATCGACATGACCTTTCCTTCTAATATTTAAACCCCACAAAGCTCAACATTATTGAGTACATGTGGAATTGGAAAATTTTCGTGAGAATTAGTTTGATATATTGATTGTAGTTGATCTCATGAAGATTAGGAACTGCTACTTATTACACATGATGACTGAACATCTTAATGCTAACCTAACATAGCCCAATCTAACCTCGCCCATTTAGCGTTAGTATGTTTAATCGCCAAGTGAATAAACAGGGGCTTCTAATATATATGCTATCCCTTGTACAGTATTTATGTACGGAGTCTTTAAAGTGTACAGTGAATTTTATCTTTAAGAGAAGAAAATAAATCCCATTTGTTTAACAGTACTTGCAGATGAACAGACTGATTATGGGAGTCAATGTAATTTAGGTAACATCTTAAAATTAAATGTCTAAAATTGCTTGTAAGGTGGTTGCACAGATGTTCACAAAATGTACTGGCTGACCTCTCTTGAGTTCTGGTGGACAAGCACTCGCCTGTCTCCAAGAAAATTATGTTCTCACATTTACTAGGCGAGAAAATTTTTGTAGAATGACGTCATTCTGAAGGTAGGATTTTCTTGTAAACAGAAGTTTATTCGGTGAAAGGTAACGAACGATTTGGAGCACCCAAGAATTGAAACTTGTTAGTAGGAAAAAAAAAGACATTTAATGGTGTGTTTTTGTGGTGAAGATGGCGGTTGAAAGGAAATAACTCTAGGTTGGCGGCGTATGGTAACTACACAAACTGCTCGTGCTTCCCTCTGCCTCAGCGCTTGGCTGCCAATAGCCATGAACGTGGGTGGTTTCTCCTTCGTGCTCTTCAGCTTTGCCTTCCTTATAATGAATACGCATTTAAAATCGCACACATGCTCGTGCTAGCAATTGGACTTCGTGGGGAAACTTAATATGTTTCGTTGGAATTAACGAGTTCGGGGTTATGGAAACTAGACGTGTAATTGTTTTTTGGTAGAACCTCGGCAAGCGTCCCCCTCCCCCCCCCTCAGACCTGCAAGACTAGTGTTTTTTGTTACCAGTTTGTATGGAAAGTTCCCTGGGAAGTAATTATTCAGTTGTTTCGCCTTGAATCGCTCAATGGGAAGCGTTCAACAGTTTAACGTCAAAAATTTCATGCGTTCGTACAATATATATTCAAGGTAAAGTTTTCTGTGGATATTTTTTTTTCTAAAGTTGCTGCTCCTCTCAGTCTGTAAACTATTTCTGGTTTTTCAACGTATTTGTTCTATATAACTAAGGATTTTATATACATTATTTGGTATTTTATGGAGTTTGTATGCAACCGGGATCCAGTTCTGAAGTTTACTAATTGTTGAAACATGGAAGTGATCACGGTTTCGTCGCCGGAGCCTAAATTCTGGGGTAGGGGTACTCTTGGGTTTAGGACCCCCTCAATCTGTGGTGCCTGTCATTGATATTTTTCCCCTTGACCTTGTAATTTTATTCGCCTTCCTGTGAATTGTTCCCTTCCACTGATTTCGTGTTCTATCGAGTCCTCGATGTGTCCTTGAAGCACAGCTATTTTTGTAACCGATGGATGAGCCTTAAAAGCGCTTAATTTAGGTTTAAAGGGAAACATTTGGCAAATTCCAAATTGACGGCAGAGCATCGATGGGGCCAGCCCCACAAAATGTACCGTCGACGAAGCTTTAACCTGTACCGTTAATTAAATTCGAATGGTTTTTGTAACGGGTCTATTCGGTTTGATGAACTGCAAAATTGTTAGGTTGGTTACGTTTTTGCTAAGGCATTGCAAATTCATTTTCTAGCCCATTTTTGACAATCACTTAAAGTCGTGATGCTGACCGAAGCTAGGATTTATAACTACTGTTACGTTGTTTACTTTAACAGGCAAGCCCCTTACCTTTATTTATAGCCTTAAATATTATTTTTATAATTTTCACTCTACTAGTTTCTGCAAAAATGTAGGTATTTTTCGAAATTAGAATGTGATTATAGTAAAAAATGTAGATCATCATCGGAAATAAAATTCCTTCAACTGCTATTCTTTGATAACTGAAAAATCATTTCGCCCATGCAGGAAAAAAATCTGACTCAAACATTTTTGTTAAGTCTATTAGTCCTCTGTTACAGTTCAGGGTCATTTAAATTATTTGCAAGATAAAGTGTGAATATGTATCAGTGTAATTTGAGTGTTGGTGTTGTGTTACAGGCTATGGTGGCGTGTTACCCTGGCAGAGACGCGCACTACGTCAAACATGTCGACAATCCCAACGGTGATGGCCGCTGCATCACCGCTATTTACTATATCAACAAGGATTGGACGCCACAGGTACGTCAGTCACGATATATTGTATGTTTGCTGGGCCATGTACCCCACTGAGTTATGCACCACCACTCTCTTGGAACTTTTTGGCACCAACTAAAATTTGATTCCCCCCACCAGTTCCTCCATATACTACTCTTTATTATTCTGAAATACCGTAGTCCACCTTCTGTTGAAGTTAAGTTCAACGTCCTAATACACAAGCTAAATTTCAGACTGTATGGGCACTACATTAAACATAAGATTGAAGCCTTTTTCTTGTAGTTACTCGTGTTAGCCCTTCTGCGTACCTATTATGTTTCTCTTCTGACCAAGTGAGAATAAATGCGTGTTGATATTTTTTAGGTTTATAAGCTTTCGTGTGCTTATGTTTGTGCTAAAGCTATGAATATATATTTTTTTCGAGTTACACTTAAAATTCTATTTCTGTTCAAAATCGCACGAGCTACTATAGGTATGCGGAATTAGGTGTCAGAAGTCGAATAGGAATAAAATCTCTGGTTTAATAGATATGTTTGATATTTGCATTGTAATTGTTGTAAGTATTAGATGAGAACGAAATGGGTTCTAGACATGGATTCTGCGAAGGAGCTCTCGAGGAGGAAAAAGGATGTAATGTTCAGAAGATTAAACCAGTTACTGTACAGCTTTAAGACCGTGTTGTGGAAGGGAAGACCAGAGCAGGACTCGTCACATACAAAGGTTTAAGAGTAAATTACAGCAAATGAAGGAAGAGTGCGTTTTCCCTCGAATCTGGCTACACTGCATCACAGCAGGAATGGGGCAAGGCTAATACAACTGAAATAGGTACTGCATTTGCAGTGTGCTGACGCTTTAAGAGAGTTGGATTAGTGTTTTTTTATGGGGGGGGGGGGTGCATAACGATTGCAATGCCCAAGAAGAATATCTGCCCGAGTCCGCTGCAGATGAGAGAAGTGTAACAACTCGTCAGGAAGTTCAGCTTTAAATAAACAAAAGGTGAAAGGCTTTTGGGATAATATCTTCTATGGTTCTGTGAGTTTGTCCAGGATTTGCCTTTGTTCATGTAGCTATGCATTCTCTACACCTTATGTAATAGAGTATCTTTTTGTAATATAGATTTCTGTAGTTGTGTGTATGATAATTGCCCCGTCCACGTAAATATCGTGCTTGGCACCTCCAGTGAACCTCTGTAAACTGTGCATCCCACCTCCATGGCGTTTCAACCATTTGGATAAGCAGATGACTTAACCTCAGGATTAAAATAAAATTTTTATTCGCACCTAAGTGGTATTTTTCTTGTACCCCTGGTTAGGTCGCTAAGATATCAGATAATCAAATGTCATTTATATAGCAGTGGAGAGCAGCTACGGATTGTCTAATGGATATAAAAAATATATTAGTATTTGCTAGTGAAATTACTTAAAGAGGGCTGTTGACTGATGTTTAATATTGTATCAAAATTTGTGCTAGAAGAACATGGTATATTAGTTACATTAATAACCAGTCACGGAAACTTGTAGAAATTTAAGGGTTTTTCCCCAATATTAATCAGATGTGCTTTCAGATATCAACGCGTTTTCGAAACATTTTAAGTTTATTTAAATTTATTTTATTTTTGGTTTTGGTATTAGATGTAAATATATTTGTTAAAGTAGCCGTATTTTTATAAACCATTCATATTCTATATGGAGAGTGTTCAACTGGGTATCGTCAACTAAAGTTGCGTGGTCAGTCTCAACAAGGAACGGGTTTGCCCGTCAACGAGAACAGCTACTCACTCCCATCCACCTGTAACATCATTGCTATCTTTATGTAGTGTTCTTCACAAACTGGTTTTTACAGTGCAAAGATAGTTTCCTTGAATTTTTCTTCGTTTCTCCTGAGCACAAATAACTTGAACGATGATTTTAGGCTTCCTGAAAAAAAAAAAACGTTTTAAATCCTTTTAATTTAAAGTATTATTTATTTTCACCGTTCAGGTGTCAGTTCTGCTGAGGAAGGAATGGGAACCGTAATATTGAAAAGCTTAATACGTGTGGCATCGGTTGAATTTCGCGGTCATGGTTACCCACTACCTGTGCTGGCTCACTGGCGCGGGTGCTTGGTTATGCTTCTCCCAGGGCCCTACCTTCTGTCACGTACGCCACAGAGAGGTTTTGCTTTAATGTTATTATATATTTTAAGGATTCAGTGGGGACGATATAGATGTTGCATTTATGAAGAGTTGCTGTACGAGTCTTGAAGATGTTGCCTTGTTGTATAGATGTAAAATTAACGTATAGTTTCTAATTTGTAAAAATTTCGGTACATAGTTCATCGTTAGTAAGAAACCCAATGATTTCAGAAACTGACCTGAACAGTGAGATGTTCATTTGTGTAAAAAGGTGTCTTCTGGGTTTTGCACTTGTCCGTCTGAACAAAGCCCGATTTACATTGGACATTTACTTGGGAACAGCTTCAAGGACATTGCATCTTGTTATGCCTGTCACTCGGGTTGGTAGTCAGATTATTCCGGGAAAATGTCTGTTGTAGCTTGTAGCAGTGCGCCAGGCAAGAGGGTGGCGCATCGTCTTCCCTCCCTTCCTGATAAAGAAACACTTGTAACGGTGAAGATGAAAGTGGGTGAGGATTCTGGGGGACTACTTATCATGCTGAGGGAGGTGGGAGGCTGAATCTAGGTTTTCTGAAGTGTTAAATGGAGAATTTATAGGTAATCCACCCCGGGCGATTTAATATAAATGGAATTATTAATCGATAGTGAATTGTTGTAACACAACTCTTTAAAAGCTCAACGGAATGCTTGATTTTGTATTTCGTGTAAAATAATTAAATAATAAAACGGGAATACTGTATAATAAAGAACAGAATGTTATATATAACTATTATAGTAGCAAAGAAGAGCTAAATGAACAGGATAGTAGAGTACTTAATATAACACCGTAGTATAATAATAAAATAAACTGCATTAGTCTACTTTTACTTTCATCCTCTTCACCACTGATCGGCTCGTTAGCCGCTTGGGCGATCGGTCACGTCTCTGTTACGCACTGTTGGCGAATACTGGGGCATGCGCTGGCTCCTGAATGTATTTGAAACCTGCTCCAGTGCTGTCAAGTCTGGTCTTGAAAGAGCTCACACTCGGTGCCGTCACATCACACTGGCAGATTGTTCCAAGAGTTCATAACTCGAGGACAGTATTTTAAAGAAACAGGAGTTTAATAAAGAAAAGTATTGTAATACAGTATAAATGGTTACAGAGAATAGGGTGCTACTATAGCGTGCTGTCTACAAAGATATGAATATAACCTAACCTAAATATCTTGTAGACCACATGCTATAGTAGCACCGAGAACAGATCAACCACCCGAACGGCTGATAAGAGGTGGAGACTGATAAATAAATTAAAGTAGTGTAACGAAAGTACTTAAAAACAGTGAAAAGGGTGTCCCATGGGAGTGACTGCACCTTGGGATCGTGTTGATACAGCACACAGCAGTATACTAAGCCTTCGGTGCACAAGGAGGTAGCATGGCAGGTACTGAAGTAATATAAACTAAAACAAGAATATAATAAAACGGTAGTATAATGAAGAACAGCATTGTAATGTGGAACAGTAGCTTAATGAACTTATGACAAAATTTTATTAAATAACCAAATCAAAGGTTATTGTGAAGGTGGTGTTGGAAGCATTGACCAACCCTTTTGTTATACTGTACTAACATAACCCATATGACATACACATATTTACATAGTTTCCAGCTATATAAATCTAGTTTTACTAGTAAGCATTTTATGATTTTTTATTAATATCTAGTCATTAGATAACGATAGGTTCTATTTGTGACTGAGGGAGGCATTTGATATTCTTTGTGACTCATGTTCTGGATTTCCAATAGTTATTCTCATTTTATTCTATTTCTCTCTTCCCTTTTCTTGCTCAAAATATTTAAAATTTCATGTCCTACTGAATGTGCTTTATATCCAAAAAAATTTAATGTAAATATACTGTACTGTACAGAATGTCAGTTGTGTAATTCATCAAGAAAATGAAGTCATTATTCTACAGTATTTTATTATTTTTAACATTAGTAGTAAAGAGGAATTATGCTAAGGCTTTAACATGGCCACGGGAAGTGGTGAAGAGTAATGCAGGATTAGAACAGGTTCTACAACAGCTAGGGACTCTGAAGAAGTGTGTCGAAGAAATGGCAATAAGGTATTTTGTTAGGGGAGAGGAGGAACAACAACGGGAACGTTTCCAGCGCAGGAACAATGTAATAGTTTTTGGAATCCCCGAGATCCAGGCGGAGGGAACTGAGAGTAGGGTAACGCACGATAAGATGCAGTTGAAGAATATTTGTACAGAGGTTCTGAATGTCATCAACCCTCAGGATGTGAGGAGGCTGGGACAAAAGCAGGGGGATAAGCCTCGCCCCCTCAGGATCACACTAGTGAGTGAGGAGGAGAAATAGGAGGTTATTCGGCAGGCAAAAAACTTAGCAAGGAGCGAGGCATCTCAGAGTGTATTCATTCACCCAGATCGCACGGTAATGCTGAGGGAACAGCACAAGAAGCTCCTGCAGGGCTTGAAGCAGAAGAGGGAGGGGTCGAGGAGGAACAGGGTCGGGTGTACGTGGGTTATATACAGGGGGGGGGGTAGTGGAAGCAATTGTGCCGACACGGAGCCAGGGGACAGCAGTGCACCCTCCATCCGCTCTACTCCCCACTTGGAGGTGGTACCAGCTCCACCTACCAGACAGGAGGAGGTGAGCATCGTGTAAACAATGACATTTCTAACCACACCCTGCAAAATACAGTGTACTTAGCAAATGCTGCAGCTTCTGAGAAAGCAGGGGGCCCGGAGTTACTACCAAGAGCAGAGACGTTACCGAGAACAAATTCTGCCTTGAATGTCATGTACACTAATACTGACACATATTCCTTGATAAGAGAGAGGAGTTTGAAACACTACTGAAGGTACACTAACCCGATATTGTAGGAGTTGTAGAACTGTTGTACAAGAACAGGAGAATCGACCCTGAGGAATGTGAGTTCAGTATTGCTGGATATGACTCATTTACAAACTTTTCTCAAGAAACTTGCAAGATGGGTGTGGTTATCTATGCTAGGCAAGACCTTAGAGCCAGCCAGGCGAGGGTACAGGGAGAGGATGTTTTTGAATAGTCCACTAAATCAAAGAACTTAAGGGCATTAATAGACAACGCAGCGATGCTCAACCCTAGCCACCTCCTTATCATGGGGGACTTTAACTATGGCGACGTCGACTGGAGAAACGAGTTCACCCCAAATGACTTGAATAACCCTGCTACTCTTTTTGTTGAAACTCCGAGAATTAATTTTCTGTTCCAACATGTTAGAGACCCGACACATTACAGAGGAGAGGAAACACCCAAGCCACTAGACCTCATCATAACAAATGAAGAGGGTATGGTGGCCAAACTGGAACATCTAGCCCCAATTGGCACCAGTCACCATGTAGTGCTGTCATTCAGATTTAACTGTTATCTAGCTCATGATCAAGCCAGACCAAGGTGCAAATATTACAATGGAAATTATGATGGGATGAGGGGTATCCACTAGCCTGACTCACTGAGGCACAAGAATATGAGGGGATCCCTACACATGAAACATGCGGCGGTCGACAAAGTTAAGAAGAAAACCCAGAAATTCAAGGCGTGGGTTAGGTCATATGATGTGCAGGACAGGTGTATGTATGCAAGAGCCAGAAACCAAGCAAAGGCAGTGTGTAGAAGGACTGGAAAGGAGTTCCAGAGGCTGGTTGCAAGCGAGGTAAAGTCAAACCCAAAGGCCTTTTACCGCTATGCAAAGTCGAAATTAAAAATGCGAGTAGGAGTATCAGATTTGTGGCTTGAAGATGGTAGTTACACAGATTCTGACCAGATAAAGCCGAGGCATTGAACAGTTTCTTTTCCTCGGTGTTCACAAGAGAGGATGCGATTAACCTTCATGCCTTTTAGGGCAGACAGTTCGACACAGTACTGACCCACATTGTGTTCACAGAAGTTGGTATAAGAAATAAACTGTCAAAGCTAAAGGTACTTACGAGTCCCGGCCCTGACATGGTGCATCCCAGAGTGCTAAGAGAGTTATGCAACGAGCTTACCGAGCCCCTGAAGATCCTGTTCTGTAAATGCCTGCATGAACAAAAGGTCCCCAGTGATTGGAAAATGGCTTATGCGAGTCCTGTCTTCAAGAAGAGCGATCATCACTCCACGAACAACTATAGACCGGTGAGCCTGACCAGCATAATATGTAAAGTACTTGAGAGTACGGTATTTTCAGAGATGCCACGTTGGAACATCTACAACGAAACAACCTTGTAATGGATTGCCAACACGGTTTTATGCCGGGGCGCTCCTGCTTAACACAATTGCTCAAGGTATTGGATATTTGGACCCATATTCTGGAACAGGTTGGTAATATCGACAATATATATATATATATATACAGTATACCTAGATTTTGCCAAGGCTTGCGACAGTCTACCCCATAAAAGGCTGAAAATCAAACTGGAAGGGTATGGAATTTGGGGAAATGTCCTAGCGTGGATAGAAGACTTTCTACATGACCGCAAGCAGTGTGTGGTGATTAATGGCACGAAATCATCATCTGTACCTGTCACAAGCGGGGTACCACAGGGCAGTGTATTGGGCCTGCTGTTGTTTGTTTGTTTCATAAATGACATGCCTGACGTTGTACACTCCTCCATACAAATGTTTGCGGATGACACAACGTTATTTCAGGAAATCAAGAACCAAGCAGACTGTGAAGAGCTGCAGAAGGATCTCTGTGAGCTCCAAGAATGGTCGAAGAAATGGCTGCTGAGATTCAATGTCATGAAGTGTTTGAGGATGCACCTGGGGCGTACTAAAGGTAAGGAGGCGTATCATATGTACCAAAGGGATGAAGAAACTGCACTATTTGAGACTGAATGTGAGAAGGACCTACAGTAGGTGTGTATGTTGACAATGAGCTGAAGTTCTCTTGCCATTGCGAGAAGGTAAATCTGGCAAATAAATTATTAGGTCTTATAAGAAGGTCGTTCAGATGTCTAGACGGTCCGTCCCTTGTAACGATCTTCAAGAGTGAAGTGCTTCCCCATCTAGAGTACTGTCACCCCGTCTGGTCCCCGAGATATGCTAGGGACTGTCAGTTGGTTGAAAATGTTCAAAGGAGGATCAACAGACTGGTGCCTGCACTTCGACACCTCAACTACCCTGAGAGATTTGAGCGTCTGAACTTTCCTCGCTTATACTAGATGGGTAAGGGGTGACCTAATTGGGGTGTATAAACATCTCAAGGGGCACTACTCAGTCGAGTGTCCTTTCCTGGAGCTGGCGGACGCTCGCCCCACAAGAGGTCACAGCTCAAGATTGAAAAAGCCTCAGGTCCAGAAAACTGTGAGGGCAAACTTTTTCGGAGTGAGAGTTGTGAACTCTTGGAACAATCTGCCAGAAAGTGTTGTGACGGCACTGAGTGTGAGCTCTTTCAAGACCAGACTTGACGAGCACTGGAGCAGGTTTTAAATACATTCAGGAGCCAGCGCATGCCCAGTATTTGCCAACAGTGCGTAACAGAGATGTGACCGATCGCCCAAGCGGCTAATGAGCCGATCAGTGGTGAAGAGGATAAAAACAAAACGACAATAGAGATATAACTGGGAGGGACTATAGAAAATACTGTACTTTACTTTAGAGAAATTTATTTTCTGCTGAAGTTATTAAATGTATGATGTAGAGCAACACTTGGTAAATATTTCTTAATACCCTGTAGTATCTTTGTGATGTTTTATACATACAGTACTGTATTTCTCTTTCATTTAACAGGATGGTGGTGTATTGAGAATCTATCCTGAAGGTTGCTCTGACAAAGTAGCAGAGATTGAACCCCGGTTTGATCGTATGCTCTTCTTCTGGTCAGATCGCCGCAATCCTCATGAAGTATTGCCAGCTAAAATTACGAGGTGGGTGTGTACTGTCAACGTATTGTTAATAGATAAAGCTTTCACTTCATTTCCTTTATATTATAGTAAAATATTGTGGTTCTATTTCAGCTATGTATAGTTATTTACAAGTTTTTATATAATTATTACAAGCAACTTGAGTTTTAAGTGTGGATAACCAGAAAGCTGGGTTTTTACACCTACCGGTTCCTGTACTGTATATAGTGTTACCCCTTTGAGCATGACTAGTCCTCTAGTTTTTCTTCAACTGAATTCACACTTGAAATACTATTCAGTACAGTTAAAAAATATACAGTTGTGCATATTGTCTGTTCATCCTTCTCTTCTCTTTTTCTCTCCCTCCCTCATTTTTTTTTCCAGTGCTACTTGTTCTGCAGTTTTAATCATGTTAACATGAAACTGTACTGATGAACCTATTGTCTAGGTTTAATGACTTACTTTTTTAACTCTTATTTGAAGCTTATACTCATCGAATTAAATTACTGTACAGCCGCTTGGTCATGTCTGACGTGTATTTGCCAGTGTGAAACACAGGCAGTACAATATTCCATCTGTACTTGCTAAATTATATGAAGATTTATTCTTCATCTTCTTTTTCCTACACAAATCTCTTTTGGGAGTGTGAGTGGCTCATGCAGTTAGCCAGGTATAATATTAACTGACTACTATGATGCAAGGTATTCGTGCAGTTATGCCCCTTTACCATATTTACTGTATTCCAATAAGTTGTGACAGTTGGTTAGTTTTAAATGTTGGCACTGAAGCTTGGCAGGGCTTGTCATTCTGCACACAAACATACTGTACTTGCTCTATCGGTGCCAGATGGTCCAGGTTGCACTGATATTTTCAGTTACTCTGCAGTTCAGTTGCATCCATTTACCCTGTAATTGTCAAATTGCAAAGATCCTTGTAACATCCAACCACCCAGTCTTATCATAGTGCCTTTATGGTGGGGTCAATGGTTTTGAAATGCAGTTGTTCACGACCTTTTATGGGTTTTTTTACTAACAGGTGAAACATAATTGTCACTTTTATCCACAATAATTTAGATTTGGCATTACTATTTTCCAGTTACAGTACTGTTTTTATTATGACCCACACTGTTTCAAGAAAAAAATATTGAATTTGTGGCACAACATTTGGATATCTTGAGGCCTTGTTGTTAAGTGGGTATGCCATAGCAGAACTTGTCTAATACAACAGCAAGTTTGAATAAATGACAACAAATATCTGATAAGGGCTTGAAAGAGTGAAGAAAAATTTAATTACGTATTTAATTTGGATATAATTTTTCTAAGATAATGGATATAATTTATATTTATTTTTCTCAGCAGATATGCCATCACAGTGTGGTACTTGGATCAGAAGGAACGCGAGGATTACCTGGCACGGGTCTCCGGTGCTTCTACCAACACTTGACGAGTTGCTCCTCCACTGTGTCACCCAAGCCAGTCTCATCATACGACTCAGTGTTCTGCAGTTGTTACTCCCCCCATCATGCAAACCTATTGAAAGACTGGTCTCTTATGACCTTCACCAACATTAATATAATGATCGTGATTAGTGTTGAGACATTTGAAGTGAATGATTGTGTGCCATAATGATACTAGAACGTGAGAAAACTCGATACTGTACAGGATATGATTTTTTTCACCTCCTGATTTCAGGAACTGTTGGCAAAGAGAAAGATGAGACCTCCTGACCCCCATAAAAGGTTATTTTGATATGAAGTAATTACAGGCAGTCCCCGATTTACAAAAATATGGTTTATGAAAATCTGTTCGTTTATGGAAGGAAAAAATTTCATTTTTCAATTGTCATGTGAAAAATCCGAAGTTATTGTCTCCTCTCACAGCATTGGAAGATGCTGAGGTGCTGACACAGGCATTTCAGGGATTCCTGTACTGGACCTGGTCAGTTTACAAAGACATTGAAACTAAACACAACATACAGTATTGTACTGTATTACAAGTGATTAGCTAAGCTAAAAATTAATTACTGTACAAATAGTATTTTAATTATCATGGCTCACAGAATCACTAAATGAAGCTGTGGCAAGACACTATCTCAAGATATTTCAACTAGGAACACAGATGTCATTAGTATCCCAGAGTTTAATCTATTGTCGGTAAAAACAATAAAATGTTACATGGATAAGTTTAGCATTTTTCTTCAGATAAAACATCATCAAAAATCAAATCCAGTGAAATCAAAACATCTCAAAATGTATACTGTATATGCACAGTGCAGAAGACTTACTGTTGGTGCATCACTACCATAATAAAATCATGTGGCTTGGCTAGGCCTCACAGCCTTGCACTGCATCACAACCCGTGGCACAGTTCCTCACCAACTAACCTCCGTTTTCCACTGAAGGCTTTTTCACCCCTCATTATTATTGGCTTTTTAGCACTGTGTACAACAAAAATTTCTAAAAACATGTTTTGTAGCATGTTGAGCCTTTTGGAGGATCCCTCCCCCCTCCCTCTCACACACCCTATTAAAGTATCTCTGTTTTTATAAATAGTCAGTGAAATGAGAAAATGTGATCCAATTTAAAAAAAAAGTGTTATTTATGGAAGGTTTTCAGGAACAGAACCCATTTGTAAATTGGGGAATACCTGTAGTTAGACGTTTAGAAGACTTTCAGACATAATTGCTGTTGATATGGGAGCATGTGTGTAAATTCAGTTGAAAACAACCTCAGCATGTGTGCATTTTGTCTTTTTTTTTTAATTCAAAAACACTGGAGGAGAAAATAGGCAATGCAGTATGTTTTATTTAGTTAGACATGAGTTCCTACCCTTTATTGCCTTGTTCTGTCTTGCTATGTCAGGGTTTTGCATTCCTACCCTATTTGCCTTATTCTGTTCTATAAAGTTAGGAATCTGTTAAAAGAAGAAATGTAATTTAATCCTTTTCAAGTAGGATAACAAACATTGTACATGAAAAGTGGGAGGGGTTTCATCCTCATGCACAGCAGGTTATTGTGTTACATGCAACTTAATGTTGAGGTATGAGATATTGCATTATTTGTCATTGCAACGTACAGCATTCCTGTATATCTGAAGTCAAACATTTCAGTACCGAGTACCGGTATATTCTTCCATTCAAAAGTAAATGGATGTACAGTATCCAAATCCTACATGTGGGATCTGAAATAAGTATACTAAAATATATAATTCCTAGGATTGAGTTATCTGGTACAGTACTTTATTTTTTAAAAGCAAAGAGTATTTGGTGCTGTTATGTACTGCAGTCGGGTTACTAGCATTTAGTAATGGAAGCTAACGTTCTTACCTCGTTCAAACTTGTCTCTGGGGTTTGCATGTGTTGATGATGTACTTAGGGATTAACTGCAGTGTTGCAGTATTGTGATTTATTTTGACAATTTTTCCTTAGTTAGGTTTGTAAATTTCATTGATATTGATGAGTAGTGGTTGTGATAACTCTGTATACACACTTTGTGTGATAAATTCAGTATTATAAGGTTCAAATTTTGTTACGTTACCAAAGATATTGTGAAAGTAAAGATGTTATATGCCAAGGAAGCCAGGGGATTTAGTCAGTCACAATCACTCAAAGAACCTCAACATTCCTGAGTGATGTGTAACTGACCTGAACACTCGTTTCATTCTGGGCAGTTAACACCTGAACTGATGAACTGTGTTAACATGATTTATTTATGAATATGAGGAAGTTGAATTTTGGGTTTCAAAGAGGGAAACTATAGCAACTGTTTCAGCATACTGGCATGATTTATAATATATATATATATATATATATATATATATATATATATATATATATATATATATATATATATATATATATATATATATATATATATATATATATATAAATAAGGTAGTTTGTAAACTCATGCTAGAGACTTGAGGTCAACTTTTGATTGTGTAGATGTTGAACCTCTTGATGGTCCCAGGGTCCAACTTCATAATGATTTTTTTCCATGGTTGAACAGGCTGAGTTTACCTGAAACTTAGCCTCTCCCTGAGCCCAGTTTTCATAGATCTTGGTTAACCATGTTAATGTGGTTTATTCATAAATATATCCATGAGGGTTCGTAAACGATTCTAAATATTTTTTTTATTATTAACCTTAGCAATGAGCAGGAATTGGATGAAAAATCAATTGGTTGTTGCCGGTAAATATTGAAGACATCTTTGCACATGTGCTGAGTCTTGGGTATCCCCCACAATGATGTGATCTTATTGGGCTAGTGTTTCATGTACAGTAGTGGAGACACTAGTTCACTTTATTGTAGAATATGCAGCAAATAAGAACAGAACTTTTGAGAGTGTACAGTATGGTGAAAAATTTATATCCTTTCTGTAACTTATTCTGTTAATTTATAGCTACTTTTGCAGCATTTTTTGGAAAAGAGACAAAGTTATTTTCATATTTTGTGACCATAAAATGTGCAACTTAGTTACACTTTTATGTAGGGAAAAAATGGATATGCAGATTTCTTTTTGTCTTCATCATTAGGTGGTGATCTTAAAGGGGCTATTGCATAGACACATTCAGAATTCTGTGTTGTAGTAAGTGATGAGAAATGTCAAATTTATAGTCAACATACAGTGTCATTTTCAGGTACTCTAAAGTTCAGTGAATTTTATTGTGCATCCGAGCCTGAAAAAAGAATCGTGTTTATGTTACATATACCTGGTGCTATAATATGTACAGTAATTTACCATAATCATCATATTGTTAAAAGGCTTGTGCACTGGAAACTTTCCAAAAGTACCAATTCACTAAATCATACTTATTTAACAATTTATGGATGTTTTAAAGTATATATATATATATATATATATATATATATATATATATATATATATATATATATATATATATATATATATATATATATATATATATATATATATATATATATATATAATATTATTATTATTATTATTAAAAGTATTTGTGCTTCCATGTTTATTATATTTGTCACTTCAAAAATCAAGTTATTTACATAAAGGGAAGGTGTACTGTATTTTGTTTCCATGGTGCCAGCCAATTTTAGATGAATTGCTGGGCTACAACTGGCTTGTACATAACCGGTATTTTATAGGCATTTTCTATGACAGTCTTATTTCATGGATGTTGATAATTTGAGGGCAGATCAAAGAATGAGCCATATAAAATAATTGAATGAAAAAGTTTTTCATTTTTCATATTACTTTTTTTTTTTTAACCTACAAAATTTGAATGATTAAGCTTGCATAATGACTTTTAAGTACAAGTTTTACATTCCTGACCAAATCAAACTTAGGGCTGATTCTGCTTTAAATAACTGATTTTTTCCTCTGGAAACTGGGAAAAATGCACAGAAATAATGTAACTCGAGCAAAATTACTGTACTGTATTGGGTATGTACAATCTGACTTGGAGATCCATTTTGTGAATTCATTAAAGGCCTAAAGTTGATTTTTCTGTGTAAGGACAGTTGCTCACTCTTACTCTTCACTTGTTAATAATCTAGATGGAAGCCCACACAAAAAGGAGAAGAGACATTGAGTACTTTTTTGTTTGGCAACATTATAGGACTAGACTGTTTTGTGGAGTTAATCTGGTTAGAATCCTTTATTAGTACAAATTATTCTGTTGTGGGTTTGGTTAATAGGAAAAATACTAAACAATCTATAAAAACTGACATTTAAGATGCAAACTGGTTTACTGGAGTTAGTCCAAGTGCCACATCAGTATTTAGATATTTATTCACACTTGTACCTTACTTTGGTACACACTATAAATGTGTACAGTATTCTTATGGGGTTTGACATCTAGTCTATATATTTACATTTGACTCGCTCCCAAGTACATACTCACTGTATCATAGAAATGTTTATTATAATACTGTACTTGCGGTTGGTCATACTTCATTTTTTAATAGTATTCTCACGTTAACGACTTTTCAAGATATAATTACTTTGATTACGTAGTATAATTTGGAGTGTTAAACAAATAAGGGATTATATGTGTTTGCACATGGAACAATGGATGGCAAATTCAATCAAGAGTCAAAGAAGAAAGTGAGTAGTACAGTACTGTACAGTATAGGGCTACCAATGAGCCAACATTACTACTGTATAAGGTGAAACGGGGAATCTTGGATGCAATGGGAAGGAACCAACTTAACAAATAACATGCTTGAGAGCAATACCGGGTATGTGGGACGATTAACACACTTGGGTTTTTTAGAAGCAAAATTGCGTATATAAATTTTCGCTTTAGGGTTTTCATACACAAATTTACGAATGAAGTAAAAAATTTAAATAAAATAATTTTACGTTTGCGTATGAACGTTAGATTTGCAAGTCACACATATGGCAACCATGTAGACTGCCCTCTAAGGTTAAGTTACCACACCAGTTTCCCTTTGTGTGTCAATGATGCATTTTCTCGTGCTGATTTTTCATTCATCAAAGTGATTTTATATACAGTATTCATAACAGTGTCGTAAGAGTTTTGAACCATGCCTTCTGTTGCTGGTAAGGGTGGAGGGGTGGGAAAACATAAATAATGTAAGGAGATGCACCATGTGGTGATAGTATGGTGCCTCCTGTTGCCTTTTACTCGCGCTTAAGTATAGAAATAATTTTATTTTGATTAGTTACAGTATGTGAAATTGCTTGTAGATAATTTATTTACAACACTAATGCAGCAAATCCCACCCTTTTATCTCAAATAGCAAGCTTGTTCTGACTCTCGTGTGGCACATTCAAGTGCAGTGAGATGAGTAACAAGCCAGACCCCAAGCATCTCATTGGGGGAGTGCCTACCCAAACCCAAAAGTGTTAAGGTAGACCTGAGTAGGGTGTGCTAGGTCTGGACTTGATGAGAGAACTGGAAGTGATTTTTTAGTGAAAAGTATAATTCAGCAGTGGGGGGGAGGGGGGAGACTAAGATCAAGGAGAAGGAATGATTAAGTGAAGGCCAAGAAAAGTGAGAGAGGTGAACATAAAGGAAACAAGTGTTGAGTGGATTATGGGGATGTTACAGCAGTAAGAGGCAATGGATGACAGCAAATGAAGAGTGGATGTTTTTACCTTTGGTTCTGACCACCCTTCATTACTGCGGGGAAGGGATTGCAAAAGTGAAAAAGTGCGTAATTTAACAATATTTCAAGATGCCATGTTGTGACAAACTCGGCCTACTTTTTCATAAGTTGACAAATTTTTTTTAGAAATATACAAAAAAGTATTATTGCAGTTCATGACAAAGTAGCTACTCCACTGACCTCAGAAACCAAGTGATTCTTAACTGCACACTAAATATAGATCAGTAAGAATTAGAGCATAGCTATACCAAATATATTTAAATGAAAATGTTTCTTCACAGGATTAACTGGTTTGATATCAAAGATGTAATGTACTAACACTGGATAAACCGCCCAAACGGCTAGTAAGCTGATAAGTGGTGAATATGATAAAAAAAAAAATTGTGAGCACACGATAACACGGGCAATATACCCAGTAGTTCATGGTCCACTTCTCAGATTAAACCACCACTAAATTTACTTGACTAATAGTGTGAGGACTCTTAGTGTTGCAAAAAAATATATCCACTGCATTATGTTGCTCTGATACATTTCTTGCATAAAGAAATTGCTGTACAGGTATGTAAATTTTCAGGCTGCTTTTTCTGCAATTGACATCGCCATCACACGTGTTACCACATCAACATTAAGAAATGGTTGGCAAATGTCTATTAAATGTTCAGACTCGTATATCTCTGAAGGAGATTAATTGCGAAGTGTAAGAAATGGAACAGGTGGTACCACAATGTGTACAGGTATTTTAGCAGTAAGGTGGTCATATAACTTGGTGAACAAACAGGCTCTTGGAAGTTAATTGTAAAGCTGATATCTATGTAATGCAGTGGTGTACCGTGGTTGTACTGATGAGGCATGCAGAACACCCACATACAGTATAATAGTTATCAAATTAAATATCAAGTAAGATATGGCCTTTCTTTAAAGAAGGGTTGTCAAGCTTTTCTAAGCACCTAATTTTTTAAATTATATCGGTGGCATTTGACAAAGTATCTATTATAAATCATTAAATAATGGGTGCAAAAATACTTAAGGCAAAAGAATATTAAGCTTTCAGTGTGATCTACAGTAATTTAGAATTAAAGTAGTTAAAAGAATTGACTAGGCATCATGCACAAAGCTGGCCCTCTGTAAAGTTGCCAATGATCTTGTTGCCGAACATTTAAATAATTAGTAAATATTTTTATTTATATGATCCGGTTATTACTTCAAGTAAAACAGAAAACTGAATAACTTTCATAAGTTAAAGACTATAATTGAAAGCAGACTGTATGGTTATTTAGAAATATTAAAAATAATAATGTAGACCAGTTTTGTCCAGCTGACGGAGAGCCGCAGCTGGTCTACATAGCCTCTCGATAAGTGAATGCAGTTTTCGAAGTGCTTGCATTTGTACCAATTACATTTACAGAAACCTTATTAAATAGCCACTCTTATGGAACAACAACTCTTTGGTAATATAATATCACCGTTTAACATAAAACTTCATGCTTATTAAGGAATACAGTAATAAATTTGACAAATGGCTCAAATTCCTTATGCTCTAACACAATAAACTTCATTTTAGCATGTTATTGATAGGATGGTTACGTCTATATGTCCATTGAGGGCATGCGGCTTATCCTGCATGCATTGAAGGACGCTGAGTCTCCTCGACTTTCCTGAGTGAAGACTAAAATTAAGTCTGTATTATTGAAGATACTATTTCAAAATATATATTGCATTCTACTAGGCATGTAATGTATGCCTTGCATTCATTAAGAATACGCCACTGATGTAATGTATCTTCACTCACTCAATAGAACTGATTACTAGAAGAGTGGTTAGCTCTCGGCATTATTTATCTTGCAACTTTCAGTTCTTTATCTTCATACCACACTGGATTGGAGTGATATCCTTGTCTTGAGAGAGTAGTTGCATCCTCAAACAACAGTACTGTACTGTGCAGTATTCTCCTGATAGAATATATTCAAATACATCAACAATGGTTCAGTACTGTACTTGTGTTG